AAATTACTAAGTACAAGTGTGAAAGTGAGAGATTGAAGCAGTCTACTGACCCGCTGACTGCCTGGACCCGCTGTCTCGAGCGCACGACAATGTGTGTGTGCCTGCCTGTGTGTCTGTGTCTGTGTGTGTGTGTGTGTGTGGTCACGTGATGTGTGTTTTCAGCGGTAGTGAGGAAGGAGGGCTGCTCAGAAATGCAAAACGCCAGAGTGGATGTGGATCGTTATCGTCATAAAATGCCATTTAAAAACTAAGACCTATTAATGTAAACAGGGCCTGAGTGTGTATTTTTCACGAGCGGATTTGCAACCGGTGCGGGGCGGAGGATCGCGATGCCGGTGTTGTCTATCGGCCTAATACATAGCAGAGCTTGCAAACTGTGTTTTTTTTTTTTTTTGTCGACAACACGAACGTTGTCAACATAACTCACTGGAAATCCAAAATGCTTACACACCGGCAACTTCATTGAAAGAGGAGAGGGTTTAAGTTCTGTTGACGGGTCTCCTGCTACTGCAGTTCAACAAGCTCTTTAACAAGCATGTTTTTTTCCGCTTGTCAAGTCAACAAGTCAAGCTGATGTGACATGGGGGCGTTGCAGCATCGAGGATTCCATTTTTTGGTTCGATAATCGAAATTGAGCATAAATTTCGATCGATTTTGATTTAAAGTCAAAATCGTGACACCCTTAATACATACACACAAATACACATTCAAATACCATAGGTAAAAAAAAATAAAAATGTTCCTAATTATATATATATATACATATATATGACAAAAACATCGGTGTCTGGGGATGACGTAATGTCAGTAGTACGGTGATGGTGACCTCTGCTGGCCAGCGAGGGGAATGACTGGGACCAAGTCGGTGACGCATACATTCAGAAATCAAGAGGTGACAGGGCTTTTTCTGCTGGAGCCCCCGACTGTGGAATGGTCTGCCTTTACAGATCCGGTCATGTTCTTCACTTGGTGCTTTTAAGTCTCATCTAAAAAATCACCTTCTGTCTCTTTGCCTTTGATTGTAATTAATTAATTTTATATATTTTGCACAATTTTTATATATAGGTATAGATTTTGTATGCTGGTTGTTTTGTAAAGCACTTTGGTCAACATCTGTTGTTTTTAAATGTGCTCTATAAATAAAGCAAACAAACAAACAAATGTCCAAAGGGAGAGAGGAGAGAGAGAGAGGCAGAGATGGAGTTTTACAGCATTTCTCCTTTGTAGTGAAATATTGGCTTGTGTGCTGTGTCGCCTTCAGTGTCAATGAAAGACTTTCCAGCAGACTAGGGTTGTAACGGTATGAATTTTTTACGGTATGATAATCGTCTAAAACAATACCACAGTTTGACGGTTTCGCGGTATACGGTATTAAATAGTAATTCTCATAGCAAAGACCCTGAAAAGAATAAGAACACGTTTTCTGACTGAACAAAGGTTTTATTTCAACAAACTTTTGAAAGAACCATTTTAATAGAACTATAGAAGTCTTTTATAAAAATAAACTGAAAAATTTCCCATTTTAATAAATTAAATTAGAAGGAATAAACAAGCAAGGTCTTTTAAGATTAGACAAAAATAAACTTAAACTGTCCTTCCTTATAAGCAGGATAAATGGGAGACCAAAAGTGCAATACCAAGTTTATGGCTGTAAACATGTATTTAAAGCATTGTTTTTTTTCAGTCTAGGTTGTGATGAAGAAATGTAAGCATGTTGAGATTTTCAGGACTTAATCTTGACCGCTGAGGTGAGAGAATGTGTCCACTTGTACAATGAACAAATAAAAAAATAAGAAAATAATAAATAATGTGTCAAAGTCCAAATAAACATGGTGCAAATCCTCAGTAAAAAATAGATATAAATATTTACTTTACTATAAATAGTTACATAACGAAACTAGATTCAATATGGAACATCCTTAGGTTTTATGTGCCAGCATGGATATGGTTGTCTGTGGATATGGATTTGGATCTGGTTGTATGCAATGCAGACAAACAGCTGCACCTTCATTTGCGTCTTTTGAAAACAGCAAGAGCAGCAGTTCGTCTTTGCTGTGTCACTGTTTTGTCATGTTTCTGTGCTGCTGTGCATGCAAAAGTACTTAGTATGAGAATTATTTCATGCAAAACTTTTTTTTTTTGCGTTTTATTTAGCCGCGCATAAATGTATGCCTATCTCTCATTCTGTGTTGTTCAAAAAGCTCATTGTTGGTCCACAAACCAAAGCGAAACCTATGCTTATTGGTTGTGATATAGCGAGTTTGAACCAATCTGGGCATGGAGGAGGGACAATGCATCAATGTATCATGTCTGGTTTGTCCGGAGACACAGTGACGAGCGTTTCTTTGTCAAATCTGTTATGTCTAAATTTGTCAAAAATGTTATGTGATACAGCACTGGAAAGCTGAGATTCTCTTCTTTATGCCAATCTTTGAATTGTATGAATCGGATCAGCGGATCAAAAGTTATTAAACATTTAAGAGCAATGCTTATTTTTAGCCGCGGGCGGCTGTCTCGGTCTTTAAGAGTTAAAACTGTTGATATGCAATTGTTCATGGTATGATAATCGTGCACGTTCAAATCGTGGTAGACCGTCATACCGGTATATTGTTACAACCCTACAGCAGACTCACAAGCTGTTGAACTGTGCATAATTATCTACCTTTTAAGTAGTAGGAGTGTTTTATTTACTCGCCCTCGCCTCCTTCACCATAGTATTCTACTGCGACATTGCACATAGGAGATAAATGACCTCTGTATGTTATAAACTAGTACTGAACTGATATCGAATTGTCCCCGTCTGTATCACGGTGCACAGAAGAAACAATTAATATTGACACCCCTAGTGACAAAGTTAGCATCTATAAGATATAAACAGTTTGCAGTTTGTCTCTTCTGCCTAAATGGATCAACGATTTTTTTTTGCTGTCACCTCATACTTCAGTTTCTCGTCCAATTTTCTGACCAATGAAGTGCTACTCTGAAACGTTTTTGATGTTTCTCTGCGTCAAGTTTCTTTCCTGCTGGGAGTTTTTACAGTTTTCTAATAAAAAATATAAAAAATCAATATCAAATCGGCCAATTTAGTCATTATAATATTGTGCATCGCTAACTATCTGTAAACCACACTGTATAAACACAACACTGACTGTTCAACGCATGAACGAATGATTTGCGTTTTTAATTGTTTTTCTGCGGCTCAGACAAATAGTGAAAGAAATGATTTTGAGATGTGAGTCTCTTGAGAAACGTTACCTCAGACAACCACTTCCTGTCAGCGATGTTAGTCACAGGAAGTGAAAGAGCCACAGGTCACCCTTTTCTTCAGAAGACAGAGAGAAAATTTACAAAACCGCTCTTAAGCTAAACTATTAAATAAATAAACAAATGATTTGTTATGCACTGAATGGATTTATACGAGATTCATTAGTCAGGTTGCAGGTCCAGACACACTTCTCACATTTTCAGCATTGTTTTCAGGATCAAATTAGTGTGTAAATGTGTTAAACGGTGAGCTAAACGTTAATTGGTAGCTGACAGTGTTATCAGATTATCTAAAACCTAATAAACACAGAATATGCAGAGTTTTGTGGATGCCGAGCGTTCCAGTCCTGCTGGGAAACTCTAGTTATTCTGCTTTGGGATTGTGAGTAATGTAAAAGTTGGCTCTCAAACTTTTAAATATACTTATACATATGGCTAGAATGTATGTTTCACGGACCCTTAAGAGTTTAATATTTCAAAAATTAAATATGTATTTAAATTAAATGATTTAGATTTACATTATTTTTAAAAAAGCCATAATTTATCTTTTTTTATATTATCGTTTTTGTTTGTTGAATTTTGTTGTTTTTGTTCTTTTATTAGCGATTTTATTTGACGATTGTTTATTTAATGTTTATTCACATTATTTATAATAATCAAATATAATTTTACTGACATTATTTACATTTTAAATTGTATTTATTATGAATAATGCTAGTTTATTTTTTATTTAGTAAATGTTTCTTTAAAATATGCTTTTTCTTTAATTTTTGGAGTGATAGTTTATTGGTTTACATTATTTATTATAAATATTTTTTATTTTGTAAATATTTCTTACATTTTATCTTTACTTTTTTGCAAAAATATTAATTTGTATTTTATTTGTATTTATTTACCTTTTTATTTTTATTTATTTTGAATAATTCGTGTTTATTTTTATTTTTGTAAAAAAAAGTATTTTCTAATTTTTTATTAGTTTTAATTTGTTTTTATTTTATTTTATTTTTTATATATTTCAACTAATACAGGTTTATTTTTTATTTTATAAATATTTCTTAAAAATGTATATTTTTAATTTTATTTACATTTTTAATTTTATTTGTTATAAATAATACATATTTTGTTTATTTATATTTGTTTACATTATTTATCATAATATTTAATATTTTTAAATATGTATTTTCTTTGCTAATAATTAATACTTTTATTTATTTGCATTTTTATTTAATATTAATAATACGTTTATTTTTACTTTTTGTAAGCATTTATTAAAAATATGTATTTCCTTTTTTGCGTTTTTGTAAAGGTATTGACATGTTTATTTCATTTATTCAAAATTACACGTGTTCATTTTCAATTTTGTAAACATTTTTCTTAAAAAATTTTTTTTGTTTTTTGTAGTGGTGTTATTTTATATTTTATTTATTTATTTATTTATTTATTATAAATAATGAATGTTTTAAATTTGTAATTTTTATTTTTATTTATTTCTTTTACGTTTTTTGAATGTTATTAATTTATATTTATGTTTATTACATTTAAACATGTACTATTTTATTTTGTTTGTTGCACTTTTTGGTGCTTTATGTGTTTTAAAATGTTTAGTTTTTAAAGCAGCTTTTGTTGTTCTTGTGTTCATCATTGTGCTTCAGGCTGAACTGAGTTTATTGTTTATGTTGTATTAAGATAACTTCCCACTCTTGATGTGATTGTGTTGTTTGTGTGGTCTTTTTCAGGTACTATAGAGGCACGCACGGTGTAATAGTGGTTTACGACGTCACCAGCGCCGAGTCTTTTGTAAACGTCAAGCGCTGGCTGCATGAAATCAATCAAAACTGTGACGACGTTTGTCGAATATTAGGTAAGTATATTGTCGATTATATTGATGCATTTCACAAAGAAACACTATGTTCCTCTTGCATGCATAAAAAATACAGTATGATATCATTTTTAAAAAAAAAATTGCCATCAAGATTTAAGGGTACCCATAATGCCCCTTTTTTACAAGATGTAAAATGTGTCTCTGGTGTCTCTAGTAATGTTGTCATGATACTGATATTCGATACCAATCAGTACTGAAAGTTTCAAAATGTCCATTTCCCGCTAACATTTGAGTGCTGTTGAGCGCATTCTTGATTTGCCATTGGGTTCACATGCTCAACAGAAATGACTGTGATTGACCGTTAAGGTCATCAGTTCACCAAACTCACTGCTGTTTGCTGAGTGTAACCACAGATACAGGGACACTGGAGTAGAGGTCTGCTTTCCTGCCGCTACTGACCAGATTTCTTGCTGTGTGGGAATAAATTTCTGAATAAAATGCGGTAGCTGTCAGTAACTCTGGTGTAATTTCACAGGAGCGGGCGGGCTAACAATATAGCGCTCCCAAGTCCCGAAGTTATTTCAGAACAGCATATCTGTGATTTCCTCATTGTGCTCAGAGTGGTACGGTACAGTTCGGTTCGGTACGCTTTTATGCCCGTTTCTACTGTCAAAGGGTACCTAAAAGCCATCTGTACCATACCACTTTTTTGGCACCTTTTTAAAAGGGTACCAAAAGGCAGAGCTAGACGAGCAGCTGAATTCTATTGGTTTACAGCCGGGTTGTCGTGCTGACTTTAGCTCCAACTTGCTTCAACACACCTGCCTGGAAGTTTCTAGTATACCTAGTAACGCCCTATTTACACTGGGCTTCAGGGTCTGAATGCTTGACTGAAGGCGTGTCTGAAGTTGGGGCTGAATCGATCGTCATAGCAGCGTCAGCCAATGAAATTCAGTCAGTAATATGCCACTGTCTAGCTGTTGTATTTGCATACAGCGATCTGATTGGCTGACGCTTCTGTCGGCGCTTGAAAAGTTGAGCTAGTCCCAACTTCTGCAGCGAGCAACGCCTTTGAAACGGCGCCGACGGATCCATAATGCAGTTTGGCAACGCCTGACGTCACCCATTCAAAGTGAATGGGAAGCGTGGACGCTGACGCCCCGTGTGAATGTAAGTGCTTTATTAGCTTGTTCAAGTATGTTTGATTAGGGTTGGAGCTAAACGCTTCAGGACACCGGCCCTCCAGGACTGACACCCTTGGTTTACAGAGATACGTCACTCGCAGAAGCAGAAGAATGAAAACAAAGGAAGCGCTATTTTTAAATGCACTGCTGAGACATTACACCGTAACAATATATACATATAATATTGAGCCATGAATGATCCAAGCTTAAACAAACCTTGACGTCGTCTTGATGAACAGCCACAAAGCCAAGAAGAACAAAATCTGCCATGTAAAGTTGTTGTTTTACGAGGTCATCTGAAAGTGTGAGCGGTTTTACTGTCTCCAGAGAGCTCACCACACGTCTATATATGAAATAACAAACTTCTTGAGCTGATTATGATAACGTGCGCATGATCACTGAAACGCTTCTGACATCCGATGCTTTCAGAAAGAGACAAACTCGAGAGTGAAGCACGAAAAAACAAAGGAGAAGCCGGAAAAAACAGCAGCAAATGATGCTTCAGCAACCTAAAACATGAACACACTGCCATGTTTAACTATTATCATCAACTTCTGGACTATTATGAACTCTGAATGACAGAATTACTCTCTAACAGAGGCTGCATGTGCTGCTGAAGAATACAGACACAGATGAGAGGTTTGCTTTGATTGTGGGCTATATTTCATGTTGTTTTTGAACCCAAATAAGGCCTAAATGTCTGCTGTGTGTAGTTTTTCTGTAGTTGGTATAATATTGGAGACTGTAAAGGTCTATGTCTGTTTATTAGGGATGGGAAGATTAACCGATATGTATCGATACGCGGTCATGCGCGTGCACGATGCGAGTGCATCGGTTGGGCAGCAGAGGATGAATGAAATTTTGGAAGCAAATCGAGATGCATCGGTTTTTGCGAGATGCATCGATTTTTCCGAGATACAGCTTATATTTTTAATATAGAATGTATTTTTTATTTATTAACAAGTGTTGTCAACCTGTTTTTGGCGCATAATTTAATCGACCTACATAAAGTAAGCCTTAGCAACGGATTTGCGGATGTGTACACACTACAACTCAGTGTATCAGGTGTGCGGATGAAGCTAGTGGAGCGCCCTCAGAAAGCGCGAGAAGCAAAACAAACATTTTATTCCTCACTGAGTTTTAAATCTAAAGTATGGCAACATTATGGATTTAAGGATGGACGACTTGTGAGGACAGATGCAATTTGCAAAATGTGCCGCATATCTGTAAAATACGCGGGCAGTACGACTAATCTGATATCTCACTTGAAGCGGCGCCACGGTGTTGTTGTGGAAGCATCTTCCAGTGTTCCTGCATCCCCGGCTTTCGCACTGCTTCAACTGTAGCTACCAGCTCCAAAAGTGGTGAGAAAAGCATTGCAAGTTTTTTTTTCCGTGCGCAACAGTTTTGTGCGCTCTACGCCAATAACAAATGCTATTGCATTGTTCATCTGCAAAGATATTCAGCCTAGTGTCACGGAGAACGAAGGTTTTAAACACCTCCTCCTGTTAATTTTTATTTAATTATAATAATAATATTAATAATAATAATGATAAAAATAATGGTTGGCACAGTGGGTAGTTTGACCACCTCACAGCAAGAAGATTGCTGGTTTGTTATATTTTTGTTAGCCTGTTGTTTACAGTGACAGTGATGTTTCAAAGCAGCATAACACTGCTAGTTCACCACCTTAAGTTTTGAATATTCAGTGGCAAAATATATCTTTGTAAAACTTGTTTTCATAGTTGAAAAGTTAAATCACAATTCTTGTTGTGCAATGATAAACCTTTATGTTGAAAGAGTGCAAATATATATATTTTAATATATATTGCACTTATACATTCTGTTTATCTTGAAAATGCTTAAATAATATGTGCTATATGTTCTAAAATGGCCCTCTACTGTAAACTGACACTCTGGCTCTGAGAGAAGAGCCAGTTTGTTAAAAAAAGTCTTGGTTTTGCTTGGTTAATAAATAATCAAACTCATTCAATGGCACAGCATCCTCTTTCACATCATCTCATAAACTTGATCTAATAAGTTAGTGCTGAAATATCGCATCGTATCGTGATATGGGTGTGAATCGTATCGTGTTGCATCGCAATATGTCACAAATGTATCGCTAATATATCGGATCGTATTCTTTGTATCGAGATGCGTATCGGATCGGCATTATAGCTTAGATGCCCAACCCTAATGTTTATATATGTTCATTTATTTATTTATTTTATATAATTCCAGACGTGATCTCCAGTTATAATCAACTCATGTTCATAGAAAGGTTAGAAATAAACATTTAGACACATATTTGTGTGTATAAAGCATCTGTGCTGTGAGAAGAGCTTCTCGTATGATATGAGAACAACCTGTACAGCTTTACTTTGACGTTTCCTCGAGTGAAAATGACGTACTCTAAAACTTTCTGTCATACACTAAGCCCATCAAAAGGGTACCCTTGGTAGTGGAAACACAAGCTTGATAAAGGTGACCTGTACCATACCATACTCTACCTCTCAGTGGAAACAGGCCATTATTGGGCACCTGTACAGCCAGTGCTCATGAGTGTTACACATGATGATTGCGTGACCAGTGCTTTCTGCTTTTTATTGGCACATTCTGTTCATGCATTATCTGCATGACGGTCCTCAGAGCAGGATTTACCAACATAAGAGAGCAAAGTGAAGATGCGCTGGTCTCTTTAGCTTGCATTAGAAAACGGTCAGTTTACTGTTAGGAAACCCACATCAGGCAAGTCTGATGGATGGGAGTCTATTTCCGGCGTAAAAGACGTAATTGGAAAAAAATTACCAATTGCATGATGTGATATTACCTCAGAGTTTTAGGGTGTTTTCACACCTGCCTTATTTAGTTGGATTGAATCACACTAGAGTTCGTTTCCCCTTTTGGTGCGGTTGGTTTGGGCAGGTGAGAATGCAGCAATCGTACTCGAGTGCGCACCAAAAGCGGACCAAATAAGCGTACCGAGACCTGCTTGAAGAGGTGGTCTCGGTACGCTTTCAAACGAACCCTGGAGGGGTTTGTTTGTGTTGAGAATATGATCCGTACTAAAACAGGTCCAACAGCAAGAAGTACTGCACGTTTTGGACTAATCCAGCTGCCGTAGGCCGATGCGCTGTGCATTATGGGATATGGAGGAAAAATATTTGTTGACAGAGCTTTACCAACAGAGAGAGAGAGGGAGGGGAAAACATTACCTGATGGATCGTTGGTAATATTTCCGCAAGATGAGCATGTCACAGTTTAGCTAAATTAATTCACGGCTCCTCCTGAAGTGACGAGTGATGCATTAAACACTGTTTTCCAGCCGCAGCCGCGTTTCATTCTCGTAATGTCTAGTTTGTCTAAAGCAGGGATACAATCAGCCAGCGCAGTCGTCCCTCCAGAGTAAAAGGTTTTGTTTACCTGCGGGAGTTCACTGGCATTTTCCCGCACGTGAATTCTGACCAATCAATAAGCAGTTTAGGAAATATATTCAACAACATCTGGCCAATGAGAGATGTGGATTTTGTCACATGACTGCATTTTGGTTCATTTCAACTGGTTCAGACCAAAGCCAGCAGTGTGGTGTGAAAACGACCCAAAGACGGCAGAAAATGCAACAATGTATCATTTATTACCCTTGATGCGGACCAAATGAAGCGAACTACAGATGTGAAAGCACCCTTACACTTTAGCAGTCACAAGGCTGGAACCTCAGTCTAGGGCTGTTGGATGTTTTTAAACTTTCAGTACCGATTAGTACCGAGTTCCAGTATCGTGACAACACTAATCTCTAGAGTGTGTGTGTGTTTCAGTTTGAGCTGAAAATAACACACAGATGATGTTTTCTAACTCTCTGACACTTTTAGGCTTTGATCCTTTAATTGTGGAGTTATGGTGGCTGTAAAAATAATATGACCAAGTCATGACTTTTAACTTTAACTTTTGTTGATCACACATTTTCTAATTTATACAAAGTTTAACTTAATTCTTTAGTCAGTTTGTTTGATATTAGCTGAGATGACGAGAAAAGTCAATTTGATTCAACTAAAAAATGAAGGCTACAAGAATTATTTTTACAGTTCAATTCAATTCATCTTTGTATAGTGCTTCTACAATGTAGATTGTGTCATAGCAGCTTCACATAGAAGATTATAGTGAATTGAAACGAGGTCAGTTCAGTTTTAAGAGTTTAAGTTCAGTTCAGTGTGGTTTAATAATCACTGCTAAGAGTCCAAACGCAGTGTGACTGTCGCTTTAAATGCAAATGAGATGCTCTTTTTAAAAGAGGGCGGAGCTACAGACCCTATTCTATAATGCTGTATGAGCTCAATAGAACAGAAGTTGTGTCGTTTGTTTGTTCGTAATGTTTATTTTCTGCTCTGTTCAGTGGAAAATAAGAAAGGCGATCGATTGCAGAATAAGGTCAATGGAGCTTTTTCACAAGAGTGTTATGACATGTTGAATGTTCATCAGCACCTTAAATCCTTGAAAGTTTTTAATATTTAGATTTTTAAAAAAACATAAAAACATTTTTTTGTACTTATGTGTGTGTTATATCATCTTTGCATCAAACTAAATTAGTAGTGTGAGGTGTGTGTAATGCAGTGTGTATGGGTGCAGGACAGTAAATCTGGCAGTATTCTCTCCTCTGTCTGCTGTTATCAGTCTCACACTGTTGTTTTCCTCTTTCTAAGTGTCTGGATAACACCATCCTGGAGTTTTTCTGTCAATATTTCAGCAGATAGGACTGTAAATAAATGATTTGTTGTATTCTCCCATTCACTGCGCTCTGAGTTTAGCAACTATGACCACTTCTGCTGATGAGAAACACGCTAATGTGAAAAGGGTCCACAGATGTTGTGTTTTTGTCTGTAATGTGTATTTCCTGTGTTCAGTGGGCAATAAGAATGACGATCCGGCCTCTAAAGTGGTGGAGACCAACGATGCACAGAAGTTTGCAGAGCAGATGGGTATCCGGCTGTTCGAGACCAGCGCCAAAGAGAACCTCAACGTGGAGGACGTGAGTCTGGCTTTACAGAGACTAGCGAACATTCATCACATTAAACACACAGTTAGAACAAAAATCAGCAGTCTGTCGTCATTTACTCGCCTGTTCAAACCCTTCTGTTGAACACTGGTGACGATATGCTGGACAAACTGACATTGTCTTTCAGTGTATTATTTGTTCCTATTATTGATGTTATTGGCTGCTTTTGTCCAGCATTCTTCAGAATATCTTGTGTTCGACATAAGAAAGTAAGTCAGAAAATGGTAAACCTTGTAAATGAGGAGGAAATTTTGTCAGCGCAGTAGCCCAGTGGTTAGCGTGCAAGCATATGGTGCGGATATGGGAGCTACAGATGTTCCGAGTTCGAATCCTGGCTTGTGGACCGTTCCCGATCCTACCCCCTCTCTCTTCTACTTCACTTCCTGTCAACCTATTGTCCTGTCAAATAAGGGCAAAAATGCCAAAAATAATCTTTATAAATAAATAAATAATTAAAATAATGAGGAAAATGTTTATTTCTGCTAAACTACAATTAAAACTAAAATAAAACACACAGACAGGAAAGACAAAAAGTAACAAATAAGTGTAATGTAAACAAACCTAAATAAAGACAATCTTAAAGGATCTTTAATGAAAATATTTAAATAATTTTTTGTTAACATAGTACTAATAATAATAATTATATATATATAAATTATAAAATTATAATAATAATAATTTTTGAGCATATATATATATATATATATTTATATGTATTTATATATATATATATATATATATATATATATATATATATATATATATATATATATATATATATATATATATATATATATATATATATATATATATATATATATATATGTATGTATGTATTTATATATAAATACATACACACAGTTGAAGTCAGATTTATTCGCCCCCTGTTTATTTTTTCCCCCTAATTTCTGTGTAACAGAGAGCAGATTTGTTCAACACATTTCTAATCATAATAGTTTTAATAACTCATCTCTAATAACTGATT